ATAAGGGCATACTAGAGCGGTGAAAACATCTTAGTTGTGTTTGGCTCGACGATACGGATCGACTGGTATGCAGCTTGACCCTTACCGGTCGAGAGGAACACGATGCTAGTAAAAGAACGTTCGTGCAAGGTTTGAGTCAAAAGTTATTGCAGAAAAACGGTTTCCGAAAAAAAATCGGCTATTTTGGTACTTTTAGTCCCCTGTAGGCAAAACCGTTGACGGTAGGTCAAATCCGAGAAAATTACTCAGAAAGAACGTTAATAGGGCTATCAAATGCGCTTTTCCGCGGCGCTGCAGCTTTATTAGACTGTGCTTCAATTTGTTGAAAATTGTCGACACCTGACTTACAAATCGGTGAATTTTGGCCTTCAATGACCTCTGGTGACCTGACCTTTGACCTGACCAAAAAAGTGACTGAAGTGAATTCTTCCTTATTTTCCACACTCTTTCGAACGCCGCCTTTTCCGCATCGCTACGTGGCCCAGGAGCCGAGTTAGAGAGGGTTGGGTGTTCAACCCCCCCCCCCCCCCCCAGCAGGGCGTGGAATTCCAGGACCCCCAGCAGGGCGCGGGTTAAACTAATCTCGTGCAGATCTGAGCCAAAAGGTATTAGGGGAAGGTGGGGTAAGACGGACCAGCTAAGGTTTGAGGCCGCATATCTTGCTACACTGCTCTCGTAATTCATATTATTTATAGTCTTCGGAATGCTCAATCCTTCCTCTGTTGATATGTGCAAAGAATAAATTTCAAATTAAATACATCTAGGTGGTGGATGCTCTTAAAGAGGGACATGTCAAAAACTGAGACAAGAAAAAACGTGGGGTAAGACGGACCACCCGGCAGTGCCTGCTATCCGTTCATGTGTGGTTACACTTCTGCTCTGTACTCTTGTAAGAAAAAGTAACCAGAATGGTAAAATAACAAAATGAGCCTTTATTCTTTACTCATGTGTGATGGAAGTGCAGCTAAAAGCTGGGAACATGTGTGTTGATTGTCGTTTGGCATGAATGCATGCTAACTGAGCACTTGCATGCATGGCTCACATGCAACAAAGACTCCTTCCTGAAAAATTAGCTTACTTAAACTTGTGTCAATGTTTTGGAAAAAGAACTTTCCATATCTGCATATGGTACAATGGACCACCACAGGGTAAGATGGACCACAGTGGTCCGTCTTGCCCCAAATCTAAATTCTGTCATTATCATGACGTATATGTCAAATAGCCCAGCATTGCAAAACCTTGCCTTTCCTAAAGTGTGACTATAATTAAGTTTATAACTTTGTTCTTCACAGTTAAGTGCAAAATAGAAACTAATCATGCAAGAAAGGCGCCGTAATTGAATCACCCGTAAACCTCTTATATTAGATCGGTTTGACGAAAAACAACATTTTTCTCAATAACTCAAAAGCTATGCATCCTAGCAGCATGAGCTCAAGGTGGTCATTGTTACGAAGGAAAGCAAACATAGTGAGTGCATAAAGCAGTAGATACCAGCAGCGGTTCAGCCGGGAGGGCTGGTGGTCCGTCTTGCCCCGCTGGGCCGTCTTACCCCACCTTCCCCTACAGATAAACGTCCTCCGCGAAAATGTATATTTTGAGGGTTAAACGTTTGTCTTAGGTCAAATCTGAGATAATTAATCAGAAAGAGCATAAAAAGAGCTATCGAATGCGCTTTGCTGCGGCGCTGTAGCTCAATCTCTTTCTGAATACTGACTTCTGTGCCGTTTTGTCGAGAAAAAAAATGTCAGATGGGCGAGATTTGATTTTCGGTTTTCTCTGGGGACCTGACCTTCGACCAGTTTGACCTAACCTTAAAAATGATCTAAGTAGTTTTGTAATAGTTTTTGACGCTCTTCCGAACGCCGCCTACTGCGTGTCTCCACGTGGCCCACAAGCTGAGTTAGAAGTGGGTGTTCAAACACCCCCAGCAGGTTCAATTAAAAAAAACGCGTACGCTGGGGACGGCACCGCACTGCTAGGCGGGGGCAGCATCGCAATAATGGGCGGCACTGCGCTGAGGGGCACCACTTTCATTGTACGGTGGAGGGGTGGCGGCGTCCCATTGAGGGGCGGTATTGCAACGAGGGGTGGGCGGTGGCACAAACCAGGCTGCCTCATAAGAAATGCTTGGCAAATCCTAGCCCAGCTCGGCAACCCCTGGCTGCTGCATCTTGAAAAGGGCATTTGGTGTTGATGAAAAAGCCCCATTGTCAAATAATTACCTAGCGCCAGTGGTTTCGGGGGGGGGGGGGGGGCGCTATTGATCTTGAATGAGGCGGGGCGACTGAAGTCTCCATTCAGATGGGCGTCCGTGACTACTGGAGGGCGCCAACGACCTCGGAGATAGGGCGAATGACATCTTAAGAAGGGCACCGGGTGCTCTAGATGGGTGCGATACTTGGATGGGGTCACTGCTGCCTTCAGTAGGGCGTCGGACGCTCTGGAGGGGCGCCATTGATCTCGGATGGTCCGACTGTTATTTTCAGAGGAGCATCAGTGGTTTCAGAGGGGCGCCATTGATCTAGGATGGGCCGACTGAAGTCCCGGTTCAGGTGGGCGCCAATAGCTCTTGAGGGGCGTCAGCGACCTCGGATTGATGGTGCGACTGTGATGTTTAGAAGGGCGTTGAAGGCGCCATTGGGCATGGATGGGGCCACTGTTGCCTTCAGCAGGGCGCCGGACGCTCTTGATTGGCGCCTTGAGCTTGTGTGGGGCGACTGTAGTCTCAAGGGGCGTTGTCTTGGATTGGGCGAATGTGAGTCTCAGAGGGGCGCCGGGTGGTCTAGAGGGGCGCCATCAACCTTTAATGGGGCGACTGCTCCGTTCAGGTGGGTGTCAGCGACTCTACAGGGGCGGCATCGACCCTGGGGGTTCGGAATTTCTGGTTTCCGGAGGGGCGCCCTTAAACATTGGGGGGCTCCCGGCTCAGGTCCTATTTCGGGGTGCCCTGGAGAACATTGGGGTGTCCAGGCACCCCCAAAGAGATATTGAGTTCGATCCCTGTCTGCACATCACTTTTTAATTCATGTTCCCTCTGTAAAACGGCATCAGCCTATTCGGCGCTAATTGGGGCGCCATCTGGGCGGCTGGGCGGAAAGGGGGGCCATGGCCCCCATGGCCCCCCCTGTATACGCCACTGCCACTGACCTACGATCTTTCCTAGGTCTCGCCAATCAACTCGGCCATTTTTCGCCGGACATCGCCGGAGCCGCTGAGCCGCTCCGTGACCTGCCCGAGCCGCACCTGGCTTTGGACTGCACAGCACGACCAGGCCTTCAGCAGCGTCAAAGAGAAGCTGGTGGCCCCGCCGGTCCTGGCGTTCTACGACCCCGGCAAGCAGACAGCTCTGCAGACTGACGCGTCACGGCTTAACGGACTGGGCTATGCCCTCATGCAGCTGCACGGCACGAACTGGAAGCTCGTCCAGTGCGGTTCGCGCTCCCTCACGTCCTGCGAGACAAGATACGCCGTCATCGAGCTGGAGATGTCGGCCGTCATGTGGGCGGTCAAGAAGTGCCGGCCATTCCTCGCCGGCCGCCCGTTCGTGGTAGTCACTGATCACCGGCCGCTGGTAGCGATCCTCAATCACAAGTCACTCCCGGAGATTGAGAACCCGAGGCTCCAGCGGCTCCGAATGAAGCTCCTGGACTACCAGTTCACCACCTCATGGCGGCCCGGCCGGCAGATGGTCATCCCGGACGCCCTGTCACGTGCCCCGGTGGACGCGCCGGCCGCGGAAGACGAGGACGACAGCGCGGAGATCGGACCCCAGATCCGCTGTATGCTGGTCCGGTCACTGGCCGAGACCGAGCCGGACGGCACTCGCGTCTCCCCGGTGGAAGATGCCATGCTAATTGCTAACGCAGCTCCGAGACGCCGCCCGCACCGACACGGAGTACCAGGCGCTGTGTGCGGTGGTTCAGGACGGCTTCCCGAACGAGAGGGCAGATCTGGCCCCCCACCTGAGGCCCTACGCCTACTCGTGTGCAGGCCCCGTCTGGTCATCCCCAGCCGCCTGCGACGGGAGGTGCTATCCCATTCCCGTCTGCACGACAGTCACCAGGGCATCATCCGAACCCAGCGGCGCGCTCGTCAAACGGTGTACTGGCCGGGGATCGACAGAGACGTGACCAACAGTGTGGCCAAATTGGTGATGTTGCGGGGAAAGTCACCCCCCATGAAAAGTATAATGACATCCTCAGAAATTTTAAAATTACATCATCACAACGTTTTTGTTGTGAAAGCATACCTAGTGTAGGAATAAAGACTAAAAATTTTATGTTCCATTGTACGATTCGTACCGTCATACTCGTACTGTCGCGCTTGCAATGTTTTTTTTTTTACATCTTTGATGACAATATTTGATTTTTTTTTACTTTCCACCAGAGCTTGACGTCAGGTATAGTTTTTCCACATAACTTGTAAAAACTGCACCTAAAATGACACTGAAGACGAGTTTTTTGAAAATAGTGACATCCTTATACGACTTTTTTATACATCCTCCCCCTAACGCTAAACCAATTTGGCCACACTCAACACTGGTGACCAATGTCGTCCAGTCGTGCGCGTCCTGTCGCACCTACCTGCCCAGCCGTCAGCGCGAACCGATGAGCAAGTTTTAAAACTTGGCAGAAAGCTCGTTAGAGTACTTGGTCTGTATAGCTCAGAGGTAGAGCATTGGAGCGCTAATCCAAAGGCCCGGGGTTCGAATTCCCGTACAGCCCAAATCTTTAACGAGCTTGCAAAAGATGACTGATGTCATCACTGTCAACCGTGGAAGCCGTATGGCTACCCATCTGGAGTACGAAAAACATCATCTCACGCCGATTTTGGATGTTATTTGGATGTTTTGATCGCTGGATGCTCCGGTTTTGGATGTTGCGTCTCTTGGATGCTGCGCTCTTGGATGCTTTAATAGTCCCCCGAGTGCTGTTCACGGGCACCTGCGGTAGCTGCGGTAGCTGCGGCTCGGCGGTCAGCCGGGTAATGACGTCACAGAAAGTGGGGATGGGGCGGTTGGTGTGACGTCATACGGCTGCGGCCGGCTGCGGTCGCCTGCGTCTCCTGCGGTCGAAACGATCCGACCGCAGCGGCCGCAGGAACCATTTGTCATGCAAAGTGGCGCGGCAGTTGCGCATTCGTGTAACTTGGGCGGAAAATTGACACGGCCGCCTCAGACGAACGCGTGATGACGTCCGCACAAGTGGGCGGGACTTATAGCCTGCGATCTACCGCAGCTACCGCAGTTACCGCAGGTGTCCGTGAACAGCACTCCGATTCGGCGCTGCGGTATCTGAATGACACGTGCTGACACTGACACGTGGGGTATGCCAAAGGAAGGAGAGAGTAGGTAAGTAGGTGACAGAATAGATGATATTTGTGATTGTTACTATCCAAATGATTAGCCAATTTATTACTGACTTGTTACATTACTGATTTAACCATTTATTTGCTTTATTTCTCAAAATTTTGGCTGTGATATTCAGTGCTTTATTGTCAGGTGAATGAGCGTGATCATCATATTTATATTTGTTTATGTCAATTATCGTTTTTACGGACTGATTGTTATTTATGTGTATTTTTCAGTTATTACGTGCATCAAAGAGGCGACAATAGATACCTAAGTCCTATCAAACGAATCTTTTGCCTGCCGTAACAGTATTAATCTCTCCAGTTATGGCACAATGAATTTCTGTCTGGCCCAATTAGACAAAGCCGTAACCAGGGTTTCTATCCAGTGTAGTTATTTGCTTGAAATTTGAGGTGTGTTTTTAACATACAGTGTACCAGTAGCGGCGGAACACCTTCAATTAAGGGGGGCCCTGCCGACTTGGTCCCATTCTTTCCATGCAACGCCCAAAGGGCTAATGTTAAAATGCCCAAATCAAAGGGGGGCACGGTGCCCCGGTGCCCTCCCTGTTCCGCCGCCTATCACTATGCAGTGTAGGTACCTACCGTAAACCGGGGTGACAATGATACCCGGGGTGACTTTGATCATAGACCAATTTTGGGCCTCAAATGAGCAATTAGCTGCTGTGAACTGCATTTTCTATGCCAATAGTTAAATAAAGCAATGAAGCATTATATCAGACACTTTGGGTCCCAGTTAGAATAATCATGTTCATGTCACAGCTTGTTTTTTTGTTGTCATTGGCATGAAGTATAAATTCGCTAGCATCTCCAGCAAAAATAATGGTAAAGATGAGAAAGACCCAGATAAAGAAAGAGAAAGGAAAGGCTTAGATACTGATGATGGAGGATGAGCATTGAGCTGCTCTATCTCAGTGGTAATTGGAGCGTCAATGGGAAGTGAAAAAGAAAATCAGCTGGGAGGGGCATGAATAGTGTGGCAAGTGGTCCCACAGCCACCAGCAGACAAAGTGTGATGTAGAACAGGTAGCCTGTGGCTTAGGACATCTGTGACAGTTACTTAATCTTGAAGTCAGAGGTTAAAGTAGCTAATTTTGCTGCTTATAGCTCTGTAATGTCAGTTTAGACCCAGAGCATGCAACTTTATTTTAATACCTCAATGATTCATATTTTTACTGTAAAATGTGTGAGTTTTTGTCAAGCAAAGCCTTTGATTTTATTCAAAACATGTAATTTTATCACACAAGCCCCTTCTGAGGGCTCCTATGGCACACATAAGGTGATTTTAATGTAGTGATCATAGTCATCCCGACGTCTGGGTGAGAATGATCAATTTTTTGGTAAAAAAATAAAATATTTATGATAAATTTCAAGGCATTTATTGTACTCAGTTAGATAGAGAATTGTTCAATTGGTATGATGAAACAGTTTCCAGAGTGAAATCTCAAGTGATATACAAGATATTGTACCAAACTGGTCAAAAGTGATACAAAGTCACCCCAGTTTACGGTACCCATGATTGATCCTGCTTTGTTATGTTGTAGTCGCTAACTGTAACACATGACTAACATGCACTGGCGGATCCAGGCTTGCGTTTTTTTTTGGGGGGGGGGCAACTCATGCAGGAGCCAAACCTAGGGTACCCCCAAATCCTGTTTTCTCATCAGATTTAGGCCACTTATTTTTCGTCACAGCCCTGACACTGAATATTTTTTTCTTAACTAAAAAGAAAAATGTATAAATGGTAGCCCACCCGACCCATGCCTTTATATTACTTTGTAAACGCTTACCATTGCTTTTGTCGACCAGTTAACCTGCTTCGAGTCAGTGCTTGGGTCCCTTTGCGGGCCGGGAGGTGGTAAAACACCCCCTGTCTAACTCGGCTCCTGGGCCACACACTGATTGAACTATGTTTCATTATCGTTTGGGGGAGGGGGCAAACGGGCCACTTTAGGCCTCTGGGAAGGGGGCATGGCCCTAAATGCCCCCTCCCTGGATCCACCAGTGCAAGGACCATTGGAGCTGCAGTTGGGTACCTCAGACGTCAGGGTACGCCCTCAGATGTATAGGACTCGCATGGAGACCTCTTATGCTATAGTGGACTGTAAGGACCCAAAGGAGCCTGTCTAGGGCTCCCGGAGATAGACGTGGGCCCTCAGGAGCCCGCTAGAGCCCCCAATGAGGGATAAGTGAGGGATACCAAGTGCCTGCAATTGCATATTGCATAAGCCATAACGCCTTTACAAATAAATATAGGGTAGACCGGGGCAAGTCGCCCCGCCGAGGTAAAACGCCTCACCGATGTTTCTCGGAACTGGCAGGGTTCTGGGGAAACATCATCCCTTCTATAAAACGTGCACTATACCTATGATCATTATATGAGCAGACTGGAAAGAAATTGTGATGACTCTTTCGGGAGATATAGCCAAAAATGTGTTTTTTGAGTGATTTTTATGTTTTGTTGTCAGATTATGAATCATGGCGTTCTTTTATGGTCCACATTAGGTTAACGACTTTTATGTTTTTTGAACAACTATTGTCTAACGCTTATCATGCCGGGTTGGTTCGTGTGAAATTATGTCTTACTGGAGTGCAAGGCGTTGTTCTCTGACCGAACTACGTGATGGGGTAAAACGCCCCAGTAGGTCGCGGGGCAAAAAGCCCCTGGGGCGTTTTGCCTCTTGTGTTGTTGGGGCTACCCACTTTCTAATGTTCGGTAGCTGGCGAATAGTAAGTTTCTGTGCCTTTATGTGTATTTTTCTCAGCAACTGGATGGCAAAGGAAGTATTTTGTTAGCATTTGCATTGCAATAATTTATTATTTGGTCTTATGAGGTAGGTGAAAAACCTGCTCATACAACAGTGTCATATGCTGAGCACCTGACAGGATGGAATGTGCTAACTTCAGTGCCGTGCCTCCAGAGGTCTAACGGACCTCTCACATAAGATTTAGCCAACTACCATGTTAAATCTTTAATCTAAGGTATGGGGCTACTTGTCCCAGGCCGTGGGGCGTTTTGCCCTGGGGTTGGGGCAAAATGCCCCATTTGCAGTTGCTTCACAAATCACTTCCTAGCTTGGAGTCCGATCATAAGTGAATCAATTTGAGGGGTGCAATTTAAAGTAAAATGTCCAAAGAACGCATTGAGCACAAATTTAGCCTTTCAGGTGATGTGGGACAGGATTTATGTAGCAAAATAAATTATCTGGGGCCCAGGCTACCCTATTATGTATCAGTGGCAGATCCAAGGGGGGCCACATGGGTCATGAACCCCTTGGTGCCCGGGGGCACCACAGGCCTGTCGGGGGCACCACCGGCCTAGCAGGGGCACCACCAGCCCGCCAGGGGCACCACAGGCCTAGCAAGGGCACCACGGGCCTGTGAGGGGCCCCACAGGCTTGTTAGGGGCACCCCAGGTCTGTCAGGGACACCAGAGACCTGCCAGGGGTGCCGCAGGCCTCGCAGGGGCACCCTGGGCCTGTCAGGGGTACCAGAGGCCTAGCAGGGGTATCACAGGCCTTACAGGGGCACCACCGGCCTTGCAGGGGCACCTTGGGCCTGTCAGGGGCACCACAGTCCTGTCAGGGCCTAGGGGCACCAGCGGCCTAGCAGGGGCACCACAGGCCTGCCAGGGGCGCCACTGGTCTAGCGGTTACAGGACAATTTGCCGAACTGCATTTTGCCGAATGCTTATTCGCCGAATGTCAATATGTCGAATGCATTTTGCCGACGTGTCTTTTTGCCGACATGCCTTTTTGCCGACGTGCAATAAGTCGAAAATGTCAATTTGCCGAAATGTCAATTTGCCGAAAAGTCAATTAGTCGAAATGTCGATTCGCCGAAATGCTAATTTGCCGAAATGCTAATTAGTCGAAATGTAAATTTGCCGAAATGTTAATTTGCCGAAATGTCAATTTGCCGAAATGTCAATTTGCCGAAAAGTCAATTAGTCGAAATGTCAATTCGCCGAAATGCTAATTTGCCGAAATGCTAATTAGTCGAAATGTAAATTTGCCGAAGTGTCAATTAGTCGAAATGTCAATTTACCGAAAAGTCAATTAGTCGAAATGTCAATTTGCCGAAATGCCAATTAGCCGAAATTAACCTAACCTAACGTGACCCGTACGTATTAACTTTAGGACCGACTCGCTTTTCAAAGGTAAAGAAACCCACTTACATGTCACCAAAGTATGAGAAAAACATAACCAAACCTTACCTAACCTGAACTACTGATTTTTGCCTACCCGTGGATAAGGAAGAAGATACTCACATGAATAGATTGCAGACAATGATAAGTCAATTATTTTTAGGTTAAGTGGTTGTGCATCACGGCCTGAAGCCAGATACACAACAATTTAACCCTCACCGGATCTATTGGTTTTCTACATACGAGCCGGCCGCTAGGTGGTAATTGCTGCTTTCGCCCCTGGTGGAGCTGGCGCGTCGCGGAAAAACGAGCGTGTGCGCCGTTACGAGCCGCAGAGATTGATACCCGATTTTAAGGTCCTACGCCAACCGGTGACCTCTGAGGTCAGGTCAAATGCCCCAAGGTACGGTTCAGTTTTTGGCGAATAATTTCGCCAAAAAGGGCCGCGATTTTGGCAGCATCGTGTTTGCCTTGCTTAGGCGCGTCAAATGATATAATTTTTGTTTGGGTCAGGTCAACTTAGGGTGTTGACCTCAGGTCACGGTCAGGTCAGCACCCCAGGTCATGAAGTTGGTGGAAAGAGGTCATGTCGCATATCATTCGATTCGGCAGGTCTTCCTGAGTCCATTGGTGGCTTTCCCGACTCGCTAGCTCAATTTGATCGGGAGTTATTGACGAAAAACTAATATGACCTTGATGACGTCATAAATGACGTCACGCAAGGTCAACATTGCAAAAGTTACGCATCTTACCTTGCAAAGAAGGCGTCAACTCACGATTCTGTGTGCTTGAGATAGTTAGAGGTCGTTCCCGGCGCCATAATAGCAGTTTTC